CACGCGGAAGGCTGTGTAGCTCGGCACATTGTCGTGATGGAGCTGCCAGGAGTTGGCGATGGCTGGGCGGACGCGGATGATGCGTTTTCTCAGCTGTTCAAGGACCTCCATGTAAAAAACTGCATTAAGGGTTTGTCCTTGTGGTACAAATTCTCTGTGGTTCACTCCTTTTGAATCGAAAACGCATCATCCGCGTCCGCCCAGCCATCGCCAACTCCTGGCGGCTCCATCACGACAATGCGCCGAGCCTTCCGCGTGGCGACGTACCTAGCCCAACACAACATCGCAACCCTGCCTCAGCCACCCTACAGTCCCGACGTTGCACCACCAGACTTTTTCCTCTTCCCCCGCCTCAAAACCGCCCTGAAAGGACACCATCACGGCTCGATGGAAGCGTTACAACAGGCCGTGACGAGGGAGCTCAACAGCATTCCGGCTGCCGCCTTCCAGGAAGCGTATGAGAGCTGGAAATCCCGCTAACAGCGGTGTGTGGATGCAGAAGGGTCCTACTTTGAAGAATATTGAGCGCATGCATTATTTCTGTCAATAAATATTTTGTAATTGACTCAGTCCGACTACTTTAAGGACAGACATGTAATTTGTGCGCGTTCTTATCAACATGACGTCAAAATGAGAAACTATCGGTAGAAAATATTTTAATGTTTCATAATTATCACAATATATGTAATTATAGTTTTAGAAAGTCTGCTTACATCTTATCAAAACTAGTAGCAGTATTTAAATGGCGACAGTGAGTAGTAATCGTACTACATTTCTACCACTGCCAAGCGAACATGCAAGCAGAAATAGTGTAAGTTTTTCTTAAAAATTTATGTTGTATGTATAATTATTACTATGTAGATACGTTAAATAACCAGAACAAAATTTTGTTATATAAGTTTAGATCCCAAACCTCAATTTGTTTCAGCATAAAAATTCTAAAGTACATTTTATCTATTGTTCTCATATTATATTATATTGTCCAGTATAAAACTAGACAGGAAAAATTCTTAGAAAACCTGATCTATACTTTTCCAGTTGACGATATATTGTTAAATTGCTATTCAACTTAATTTGTGTTTCTAGAAATGAAAGAAACAGTGTTAACTTTACGATTAACGGAGTGCGGCATGAGGGTAAGTGCTCTTCATATGTAATGTATAAAATTAGAAAATTAGAAACTTTTCTCATCAGAGATCATTAAAAATAATTTAAAATACGCCAGTAAAAAATTCTAGAATTTTGCCTTTTATAAAAATGTAATTGATGTTAGAAACAATAGAATTTACCACAAAGAGTCATCACATTCAGTCGTAACGAATTAATTACATTATGACAGAAATTAGGAAATTTGATAATAAAACTTTAATTGTAACGACGAGCTTTAGAAGTAAAAGACAACGATACGTATGTTAGATAAAGAGAGTGGTAACTTCTTTGTCGATTTCATGATTGCACAATTATTTTCAGTATCAGGAAGCATACCAGCTGGCACATCTCTCAATGTCTACATCCGCGATTATGCGAAACTCCGCGGCACAAAGGCGATGTGTCACGAAGGTGGTTGCGGCGCTTGCATTGTAGCTGCAAAAATCAAGGGCGAAACAATGGCCGTGAATTCCTGTCTTGTACCGATACTCATCTGTGATGGGTACGCGTATATTAACAAAGATATTACACAGTCGAATTTTATTTCTAAGAAAATAATAATTGTGTAATGGTTTTACGAAACTGTCATTTTTGACATCAGAAATTATTGCTCGACGCATTAACCTTTTTTTATTCATGTCTATCTTTCTAACTTCTTCTGAGTTTATCAAGCTTATACTAGATGACGTTTGATACATCGGTATTCGAAATAATGTCTCAGATGGGCTATTACCACGATCGAGGGTTTAGGTAACAGGCGAGATGGTTACCACGCGATTCAAGCTGCGCTTGCCGACAAAAATGGCTCGCAATGCGGATACTGCTCTCCTGCAATGGTCATGAATTTATACAGGTATGCATCCGGTAAAACAATTAATTAGTTTAATTATAAGAAAACACTGCAAAACGTCGAAATGTATTCTATCTACTCGCAATTAAAATCTTATTGAACTTCTTTGGTCGTTATAACAAAAAAAACCAACATGATTATAATATGTGACTGCAACAAAAATATCATAAATTTGAGAATCACTTTCACGTTAAAAAGTGCGTACCAAACTGTGTTAATGTGTTATCCATAATTTGCAGTCTCGTGCATGACAAAAAGTTGTCTATGCAGCAAATCGAAAATTCGTTCGGTGGCAACATCTGTCGATGTACTGGATATCGTCCGATTTTGGATGCGTTTAAGGGATTTGCCAGCGATGCATCACCATCAATGGTGAAGAATATCCTCGACATTGAGGTGTGCTTGTTTGAAACATTTAACTTTTATTGCACAAATTTTTAAACTTCATCCTTAGTTTTTTATTCCTAGTAAGAGGGAATTTTATTTCACTGCTTTATTTATATTTTGTTATAAGTATAATAAAATATACTTCGCAGGAATTGTATAGGATCAAAGCCCTCCCGAAATACGGAATTCCATGTACAGGTAGTTGCTGCGATAAGGAACTTTACGATGGAAACATAATGTTAGACATAAAGTTAGCAGACGCGGAATTCTACAAAGTTTATACGATCGATGATGTATTCGCGATATTTCAACAGAAACCAGAAGCTACGTATATATTAAATGGAGGAAATACTGCGCACGGTAATTGTTCCCCGTTTATACGATACTTGTAGACACATTGATTTACGTACAGTTTACATAACTATTTTTCTACTGGATTTATCTATTGGCGCGCGGTAATTTTTCTCCATTTATACGATACTTACAGACACATTGATTTACGCAAAGTTTACATAACTATTTATCTACTGAATTTATCTATTGGACAGACTTACTGAAAGTGTTTCAAATATTACAATGTTATCTTTAGTATGAACACGTGTTAGACAAAGTACAATTACTATTAAATTTACACCATTATTTAAAATTCGAATAAATACCCCTACATTTTTTTAAAGAAAATAATATTTTAAGAGGAATAACTCTAACATCGAAAATATAATCTGCAGGTGTTTATCGCTCAGGCAAAAAAGATCTCTACATTGATATAAACGACGTCCCAGACTTACGTAAGATCCAGAAAACCAGTGAATCCTTGGTCCTAGGTGGAAATACAACTCTTAACATGGCAATAGAGATCTTCCAGAAGTACTCATTCGAAGACAATTTTCGATATTTACGTCAATTAGCTCAGCACATAGACTTAATCGCACACGTGCCCGTGCGTAACGTCGGCAGCATTGCCGGTAATCTGATGATCAAGCACGCACATAATGAATTTCCATCCGATATGTTCTTGATATTAGAGACCGTCGGAACTCAAGTACATATCCTCGAGGCACCAGATAGCAAGCAGAGTTTGACGCTGTTAGAATTTCTGAAGCTCGATATGTTACACAGGATCATCTATAGCGTTGTCTTGCCACCGCTATCTTACGAGTACGAATATAGATCCTACAAAATCATGCCTAGAGCCCAGAACTCGCACGCTCATGTCAACGCCGGATTTCTCTTCAAGCTCTCCCCTACAGGCGAGGTAACGAAATTGTTTAAAGTCGTATATATTACTATTATCGCGATAATTTATTAAATATATGTGCAATATTGTACGATAAGGTGCTAGAGAGGCCCAACATTATCTATGGAGGCATCAACAAGGATTTTTTTCACGCGACAAACACGGAGCTAATGTTGATAGGAAAATCAGTCCTAGACAATCAGGTCCTAAAGTCCGCTTTGAAGGCGTTGCATGATGAACTGAATCCCGACCATGTGCTACCGGATTATTCGCCGGAATTTCGCAAAGCTCTTGCCGAAGGATTATTTTATAAGTTTGTGTTAAGTATCAAACCGGAGAATGTAAATTCCAGACTTCGTAGCGGAGGTTTCTTGCTAGAACGAGGTCTCTCTTCAGGTACATAGCACAAGCATATACATAGACCATTTGAAAGTATATCTTAATTCTTTAAATATTCCTATGTACTTGAAGAATGAAATTAATCCTTGTTCATTTAATCTTCTTTAAATCGTCTAACGAGTGAAAAGTACGATTTACATTAATTTCGTTTACGAGCGAGCGTAAATACATTTAAGTCTTGAGACTTTAAAATAAAAATAATTTTGATACTAAAGAAGTCGAGAAATGTACGAGCGTCGAAAGTACCGTGAAGTATTTTTCTTAATTTATGAGACGTTTTAATTGATTATCATAATTGCGAAAAAAAAACATAGACAATTCTAGGTTCACAGGACTATGACACGGATAAAACGGTGTGGCCAGTGAACAAACCTACAACGAAGTTAGATGCCATCAAACAGACATCGGGCGAAGCTGAGTATTGCAATGATCTGCCTCCATATCCTAGAGAAGTGTTTTGTGCTTTCGTTCTCACAGAGATCGGTAACGGCAAAATCGTCAGTATAGATGCGAGCAAGGCACTTGACATGAAGGGCGTAGTGGAGTTTTTCAGTGCCGGGGACGTACCGGGGAAGAATGTATGTATTTCGGCAGCTAATAAGCTAAGAGGCTTGATAAACGATGAATTGTTATTCGCCGAAGACAACGTCATGTATGCGGGCCAGCCCGTCGGCGTGATCGTCGCAGAGACGCAAAATTTAGCGATCGATGCTGCCAAATTAGTGAAAATTAACTACAGCGACATTCTGGAAAGAAAGCCAGTAATCAGTATCGAGGATGCGCTCGCCGCGCAGGACGACACCAGATTCTGGAATAGCAACAACGTTCCGGCAACAAAGAAAGGTACAAATTAATTCTAGATTACCGCCAATGATAAAAAATAATCCAACAAATAATACACCTAACCTGCGGATTGTTTTCTATTATTTTACAGGAGAAAATACTAAACAAGTGATAAAGGACGTTTTTCAGTTTGGCAGTCAGTATCACTACACCATGGAAACTCAATCCTGCGTATGTATCCCCGTGGAGGATGGCATGGACGTCTATCCGTCGACGCAATGGATGGACCTCATTCAAATATCGATAGCAAACTGTCTCAATGTTCAAAATAATAGGTAGTGCATTAATCTCGCGAGAGAGTATCATTAATATAATAACGGTAGCGTGATTTATACGAATGATGCCGAAATATAATATATGATTCATGCACGTTACATCCTAAAATCTTAAATTTATATGAAAATCTCGTACTATCAAAAATGCAATATTAATCTACAGGGCAGTGACGTTAATAAGAGGAATTATCTAATGTAAGAAATTGGAGTGAATTAAAATAGGCGCGCTGTTATCTTACAATTAGCTCTAGGAAAATTAACTAAAGCGTATCAGCGAGAATGAGAAACTTAGTAAATTTAAATTAACGTATCAATTATATGAATTTAATTTTCATAGTGTCAATGTCTACGTGAGGCGACTTGGCGGTGCTTACGGAGCAAAAGTGAGTCGCAACGTGCAAATTTCGTGTGCTTGTGCGCTAGTATGTTACAAGCTGAATCGTCCAGCGCGATTCGTTATGCCGATAGAGACCAATATGCAATCGCAGGGCAAGCGGTATTCTACGCGCCAAGAATATGAGATTGGAGTTGATGACGAGGGAGTCATTCAGTATCTTAACTCGAAACACTGGGGTAACAGCGGCTGTAATTTCAACGAGCCTATGTCTAACATCACAATTGAAGCCATGAGGAAGTACGTAGTAAATATATAGCATTGCATAAGTATTATACATAAAGATACCGAATTTTTATGATATAAATATTAATACCGTAAATGTTTTCAACTAATTTCTGCATACCTCAAAATACCTATAATAGAAAAATTTTTATGAATTGTAGAAAAATAAAACCAACTTAAGTTGAATATCTTAGTAAGCTTGATTAGAATTTTGCATAGAATATAATAAGAAAAAAAGAATAAATAGAGCAACATTAGTGTTAGTTTAAATTAAATCATGTTAATTAAATATAACAAAATAACTTCCGAAAAGTGTGCAAAATCTTTGAACAAGTCGGAATAATCTTTCAATCAGAAAAACGGATTTAAATAAAAGTAAACGTGATATTAGCTTACTTATATTTTAGTGACGTCTTTAGCTTTTAATTAATCTACACTCAGTATTGTCTTCGATTATCAGTAGCTGCTATGCAACCGATAGTTGGAGCTTCAATGGATTCGAGGTGTTAACTGACGTACCGTCAAACACATTCTGTCGAGCGCCTGGATATATGGAAGGAATAGCCATGGTTGAAAATTTAATGGAGCATATTGCGAAAGTGACAAAAAAGGATCCAGTACAGGTCAGATTGGCGAACATGAACGATATGGATAAGACCGCGTTAGAATCTATGATAAACGATTTGTCGAAATCGGCCGATTTTGAGATGCGGAAACGGAAAATTGAAATATTCAACAATGAGAATCGCTGGAAGAAAAAGGGGATTGCTTTAGTGACGATGAAATATTTTCTCGACTATTTCGGACAATATGACGCTATGGTGTCCGTTTGCGCCCGCGATGGTACGGTTTGTGTAACGCACGGTGGGATAGAGTGCGGCCAAGGTATAAATACAAAGGTATGGCGTTATACCGGTTACTTAAATACCCTAAAAGTTTTATCTTCGTAATTCCAATAAAATCATATAATTAATAATGTAATATAAATATATAATTTAAAGTATATAATTAAGAAATATACAGTATTATGGATTTTTAGGCTTCAAGCTTATGGATTATTTCTGTCCATTACTAGTTTAATACATCGGTAAAAGTCAGAGAATTGTCACTTTTACTTATTATATTTATACCAAAAGAAAGCGATTTAACATAATTTAATAAATATATCATAAATAAATGTTATACTTTTGTAGTAATAGGTGACATTTTCAATTCAAGTGTTATAATAATTAATATAATACATATATGCACACAAATTAAAAATAAGTAAATGATAAAAATATGAAGTGACAAACTTAATAAAAAAAATATTAACAAAATGTTCATAACATTATTTTAAAGATTTTCATGAATTATTTTATCCGACTTACAGTATACAAAGTAAACACTTAACTTTAATTTAACTTTGCCTATGTTCTCTTATTCATGTAAATACGTTTGTTTTAGGTCGCTCAAGTAGCTGCTTATACGCTAGGAATCGATCTAGAATTAGTCGTTGTCAAACCAAGCAACAATTTAATAACGCCCAACAACATGGTTACAGCAGCCAGTATTACTAGCGATTGCTGCACATACGTAAGAGAATTTATTTATATAAAAATTATATTAAAATACTTTCAAAGATGCATACTAACACTGGATAATGATATTAATTGCTACATTGATTAGAGAAATTAATAATTCATTTACTCAATTACAACATTTATTTCTAGGCAACGATCCAAGCCTGCAAAGAGATTCTGAAAAGACTCGAACCGATAAGACGAGAAATGAATAATCCGAATTGGCAGCAGCTCGTTTTCATGGCGTATCAAAGGGACGTTGATTTATGCGCACGTCATATGTAAATATCTCGTAATTACAAGTCATATGTATTTCATATATTACGAATGTATAAAATATCATGTACAAATAATCATGCAGCATTCCCTCACAGCACAGTTTGCAGCTATATCGCAGTAACGTAATAATATTGTAGAAACATTGTATCTCGGTAGGTATGCAACCACGCAGGACAACACGATCAGGTCTTACGGCATTTACGGCGTCACTATCGCAGAAGTGGAGATCGATGTCTTAACAGGCCAGCATGTAATCAGGAGAGTTGATTTGATGGAAGATGCCGGTGTAAGCTTGAATCCGGAAATCGATGTCGGTCAAGTGGAGGGAGCTTTCGTAATGGGAATAGGCTATTGGACTTCTGAGGATCTGGTGTACGATCCTAAAACAGGAGTATTAACAAATGACAGGACCTGGGTATGTTATCTTCATTGACTTTCGAGAAAGTTATAATACCGCCAAGACGCAATTACTTCGATTCACTGAAATTGTCGTCAAAATATATAATTGAATTATTAAAGTATTTAACACACAATTAAATTTTCAAGCATTTTACTTTCCTTGTAGAATTATAAACCGCCAGGCGCGAAGGATATTCCAGAAGACTTCCGTGTATTCTTGCGTAAGAACTCGGTCAACACATTTGGTGTTCTTCGTTCAAAAGGTGAGATCGGAAACTATGAATCCTTTCGTTCCCCAACTTTATTTACAATCACACAAACAAAAGTTGAATTTCTACATTTTTTCCACACCATTGAAAACTTTTAAAAAATTCTTCTTAACAAGAATTTTCAAATATATAATTTAACAGATTTGTAAGATTCACATTTCATTATGTTTTAGTGAAAATAGTCTGACAAAATTAAAGGACATTTAATAACACTTTAATAAAAATAGCAAAGAATTCGCCTAGCATAAAAATATCAAAAATGAAGATGTTAAAGAATCGATTGAGTGTGAATATCTTTTTAAAGCAACCGGTGAACCACCGCTGTGTATGAGCTACGCAATTCCGATCGCGATTCGCAATGCGTTGAACTCCGCTCGGGCAGAGGCAGGGAATACGGATGTGTGGTATCGTTTGGGTAAGTTTTATAAGCAGGGATCTAAAACGCACAAAGTATGTCTGTATCCTTGACAAAGTGCAACAGACATCACCTAACTTAGTAACTCTAATTAACTTCAGTTCTTGCAACAAGTGTAAGTTAAGACGTTATGCTATTTTAATGTAGCACTTATATTACATGTACGATATTTTTAGGTTTACAATCCGACTTCATTTCTTTTTAAAACTAAATCGGAGCGGCACGATTTGAAGGATTTAGTTATCAGATTTTACTATCAAATTCTTTTATCGTTCTTTTTGAAACGTGAACACACAGTTAAAATTAATCGCAGTATAAATTATTTAGAGTCGGACGAAAATACTTAACTGTTGTGGTCAAATAATTAAAAATACGTTATTCTAGGATTTAGTGGATGACTCAGAAGTTCCCCCTAAAATTCCTTTCTTATAAATTAGCTCATCAATGCATATATTGTTCTAAAATATTATTATGTGATAAACGTTACTCAAATATTATTATAATATATATATATTTATTTACAATTTATATTATATATTTTGCAGATGGACCATGTACCACCGAACGCATACTTCTAAGCAGTTTAACTAGCAAGGATAACATGGTGCTTTGAGAACAAAAGCAGGAATCATTCATAAATAAAACAGTGTTTAATATAAATTCTTTAATTATCTTCTTAATCATTATCTAATTGTAATAAATGTAAAAGTCTTATAGAAAAGAGAAAATGTACGTATTCATGTTTTGTTGATGAAAGAATTTTCATAATAACAGTGGAAACATGATAATTTGGCTTAAAAAAAATTAGCAGGTTTTTCATATATAATAATTAAGGCACCAACTTCTTTTTATGCTAAATTACTTCAGTAAATATTCTCCATTAGGCAACAATAACTAATATATTGTATAATAATCATAACAATAATACATCTATAATGTGCACTTATAAAATATATGGTAAATAAAAATTTAATTAATAATTCATATGTGATCTCTCTCCCCCCCCTCTCACTCTCTCTCTCTCTCTCTCTCTCTCTCTCTCTCTCTCTTTAGGAAATCTATAAAAAATACTTACTATACATAATATTATATAAGCAGATGTTAAGAAAGTTATTTTCAATATTCTCGTTACAATGCTTGAAGGAGAAAGTAAAACAATGGGTGGAAATTACAATATACTAATGGTATGATTTGCAAAATAAATAACTGTGCACCGAGCCATTGCTCGTTGTATAATGAAAATGAATGCAAGACATACTTTTTCCGCTTTCGTTACACAAACTATTTTCATAGCCTTTTGTTTACTGAATTTCATTTATTCACGTCATATTTCATAAGCAAAAAACCAACGTTTCAAACTTAATTTTATTTCTTATCTTCTCGAAATTTGTTAATATTTTTATATATTTAATATTCAATTTTATATTTATGAGAACTCGAATCGTTATGTCCTTAAAGCACTTCAGTTATAAGTAATTTTAGTTAAAATAAGTTACTCGAAGACTTTTATCTTCGAAATGCATTTATTAAAAGTTATGGCAAAATAAATGTCTAAACATGCATTTAGCGTAAGACGCTATCGTGGCTCCTGATAATGTATAAGTTCTTTTACAAGCTTTTAATATTTTTCAAATAATGAAGTATCGCTTGTGTTCTATTAAAAATAACGACGTGTAATATTTTTTTTCCCCCCTTCCCTCCCAATATAATGTTTGCGAATTGTGCATGTTGTTGAAAATTTTATTAAAACAATTCACAATTTAAACAATACTTAGTTTTAAAATAAACTTGGAAATCAGAAAATTAATGTCTTTTAAATATTTAAAAAAAATGTGATTATAAATATCGGTCAATGCCTGAAGATTAAATATAAGAAAATGTAGTTATATTTTATAATATTTAATCTTCAGGCATTGACCGATATTTATAATCACATTTTTTTAATATTCTTTGAATATTAAAAAAAATGTGATTATAAATAATCGCTTTTTTTTAAATATTCAAAAGACATTAATTTTCTGATTTCCAGGTTTATTTTAAAGATAAGTATTATATTATAAAATATAACTATATTTTCTTATATTTAATCTTCAGGCATTGACCGATATTTATAATCACATTTTTTTTAATATTCAAAAGACATTAATTTTCTGATTTCCAAGTTTATTTTAGGTTCGAAATAAAAGAAGTAACAATAAAAGTAACTGTTAAATTCGTTACTGAGTAATAACTAATAGTAGAGTTACATGAAAAGTATTTAAAAAGAGAACATCTAATAAAAATAACAAACGTAAAACTTAAAGTGAAAAGAGAAAGGAGAGGAAGAGAAAACATTCACGTAGACTAAATACGTAAATCCCACAACTCGCTCAGTTCACCAAAGACCATCAACTGAAAAGGACGTAAGAAAACCGGTATTGTGACATTTATCGTATACAAAATGAGACTAATAGAAAGAAATTATTTAAAGAAACGACTGTGATTTTGTTGCACATATATCCACACCTTAAACTCGTACTGGTCTCTAATTGAAGTTGAAGTTATGTATCGACGAGCGAGGCAAATTGATTTTGTTCATTTTGTCAGAATAAACTTTAATAATATTATTGTGTGTGTACGTGAAACACTGCTATTATATTATTAACATACAAACCCTGTAATTTTATTTAATGCAATGATATAAAAAAATTATATATATGATTTTGTATACATTTTTTGTATAAATTTCATAATTTTCTGCATACACATATGTATGTTGTCTTCTTGTTAAATTGTACAATATGTTGTGCTTATCGTATATTTTCATGATACTCCTCGCGTTCAAGTCGATAAAAACATAATTTTGTCGCAAATTGGAGATATTATGACAAGGAAACACATTAATGCAATTATTTGATAAAGATACCTACCATTTGGAACACGTGTAACGATAAGATACAATAAAGTCCTGCAAAATGTTTTCTTACAAAACTTACGTAAAGAGACATTATCTAACATGTATATTGAAAATTATTAAATAAATAACATTTTTCGGGTTAAAACTGAGACGAAAATCATGTTGTCCTATGTACTAATAAATACACCTTTACATTTTTATAGTTATGAATATTTAAAAAGAATTTGTAGCCATTATTTTAACAATGTTTTATGAACCTTTGTTGTATAGTGCTGCTTATGTGCGAGGTATTATCATTCTTGAATAATTACCGACTTCCTGTAAAAAATTTTACAACATCTATATCATAAAGACCATTTTATCGTCAGTTTGTTTCCAGAAGATCTACAACTTAAGAGAACTAGTAACCCACTTTGAATGAAGATAGAGAATAATTCAACGACATCAAGATCAACGACTGAGGAGTGAAGATGCAAACAGCAATAGTGTAAGTTTTCGTAAAAGTAGTACAAGTGTTTTCATAAAGAATATCTAATATGCGAGTCGTGTTAATGTAAATGCGACCAGAGCAAAAGGTTTTGTTATAAATTTCGATTTAAAACCGTATTTATATCAATACAAAAATGCTGAGGTACATTTCTCAGTGTGTGTGTGTGTGTATGTGTGTGAATCTGGCATCTGGCATATTGTTTTGTGGAAACTCTAAAAACGTATATAAATTTACAGAAAAATATTCTTATGAAAACTGACCTGCACTTCCTTAGCTAGTGACAATGTTAAAATAAATTATTCAATTTAATTTGCGTTTCTAGAAATGGAAGAGACAGTGTTAACTTTACGATTAATGGAGTATCGCACGAAGGTAAGTGTTCTTCATATGTAATGTGTAAAATTAGGAAATTAGAAACTTTTTGACATCATTAGAAATAATTTCAAATACGATAGTAAAAATTCTAGAATTCTTGTTCTTTATAAAAATGTAGTTATGTTAGAAACAATAGGATTTACCACAAAGACAAGAGCCATCACATTCAGTCGTAAAGAATTAATTACATTACGACAGAAAGTATGAAATTTGATAAAGCTTTAATTATAATGGTGAACTTTAAAAGTAAAAAATAACGATACGTATGTTACATAAGGAAAGTAGTAGCATTTTTATCGATTTCATGATTGCAAAATTATTTTCAGTATCAGAATGCATACCAGCTAGGACATCCCTCAATGTCTACATCCGCGATTATGCGGAACTCCGCGGCACAAAAGCGATGTGCCACGAGGGTGGTTGCGGCGCCTGCATTGTAGCTGCGAAAATCAAGGGCAAGACAATGGCCGTGAATTCCTGTCTTGTGCCGATAATCATCTGCGACGGGTATGCGTATATTAACAAAATTATTACATAGTCGAATTTCTAAGAAAATAATAATTGTGTTATAGTTTTAAGAATCTTTGACATCAGAAATTACTGTTTGATACATTGAACTTTTTTACATTCATATCTATCTTTTCTATTTCTTCTGAGCTCTTCGAGTTTGTGCTAATACTAGTTAACGTTAGATACGTTCTTGTACGAAATAATGTTTCAGATGGGCTATTACCACGATCGAGGGTTTAGGTAACAGACGAGATGGTTACCACAAGATTCAAGCCACGCTTGCTGTCAACAATGGTTCGCAATGTGGATATTGCTCTCCCGCAATGGTCATGAATTTATACAGGTATACATCCAGCAAAATGATTAATTAATTTAATAACAAAACATTGTAACATTTTGAACATAGTCTATCTATTTGCAACAAATAAAATTTTCTCATAACTTTTATCGTTATAAAACAATCAATATAGCTATAACATGTGACTAAAGCAAACATATAAATTTGAAAATCACGTTCACATTCAAAAATACGTATCAAACTAGGGATGTGTTCGATTCTATGAAAAGAACCGGTTTTTGAATCGAATCTGAATCTATTGACGAAAACCGATTCCCTCGAAAAATCGGAGTCAAAGAATCGATTTTGCAAGAATCGATTTAAATTAAAATTTTAAAAAATTTAAAAACTTTTTACAACTCAATTAATAAATGATCATGTCTCGATCATGTCTGCTTCTCTGTGCGTGCTTACCCTTACGGAAAAGCACCGAAATAATTATTAGAAAATTACTGTACATCAGTAATTTTTGATAGTTCAATTACTGATATACAGTAATTTTCTAGTAATTATTTCGTTACTTTCTCGTAAGGGTAGCGACCGATAGTATGTACACGCACCGGCATAAATGCCATTTTATTTTCTGTGAACATATTTATACTTAATCGAACATCCCTATATCAAACTGTGTTAATGCATGTTGTTTCTCATTTGCAGTCTCATTCATGACAAAAAGTTATCAATGCATCAAATCGAAAATTCGTTCGGAGGCAACATTTGTCGATGTACCGGGTATCGTCCGATTTTGGATGCGTTCAAGGCATTCGCCAGCGATACACCGCCGTCAACAAGGGAGAATATTCGCGACATTGAGGTACATATGTGAGAATTTTCATTTTTATTGCAAAAATTCTATTGTTATTATAGAGTTTCGCTTTTAACTTCATTTTATTCCTAGAGAGAGAGAGAGAGAGAGAGAGAGAGAGAGAGAGAGAGATTTTTGCAACTCTATTATATAATTATTATACTACTGTTTGTGTACCCATAAAAATTCTTTTTATATCATTCTCTTGTAAGTGTAATACAGTATACTTCGTAGGAATTGTACAAGATAAAAGCTTGCCCGAAATACGGAATTCCGTGTGCAGGTAGTTGCTGCGAAGCAACTAAAGAACTATCCGAGGGAAACACAACGTTGAACATAAAGTCACCGGACGCGAAATTCTACAAACTTTATTCGATCGATGCTCTCTTTGCGGTATTTCGGGAGAGTCCAACAGCTACGTATATATTATATGGAGGAAATACTGCGCATGGTAATTTTCCCCCATTAAGATACATATGCTACTAATTATTTATAATAAGTCTTCATAGCTATCCTCTATCTACTTGGATAGACTTACCAGGGGTCCAAATATTTCAATGTTATTTTCAGCAAGCATACGCATGCCATACAAAAGACTATTAATATTAAATTTATACCATTGTTCAATCTTTGAATAAATATACATTTCTTTATCAAAATAATATTTTAGAAGAAATAATTCTCGAATTAAAAATCTAATCCGTAGGTGTTTATCGCTCAAGCAAAAAAGATCTCTACATTGACATAAACGACATCTCAGACTTGAGTCGCGTCGAAAAGACTGACAACTCACTGATTCTGGGCGGAAACGTAACCCTCACCACAGTGTTAGAGGCCTTCCAGACGTACTCGGTCGAGGACAGTTTTCAATATTTGCGTCAATTAGCTCGGCACGTAGACTTAATCGCAAATGTGCCAGTGCGAAATATTGGCACCATCGCCGGCAACCTGATGATCAAGCACGAACACAATGAATTTCCATCCGATATGTTTTTGATATTAGAAACCGTCGGGACTCAAGTACATGTCCTCGAGGCACCAGATAACAAGGAGAGTGTGACGCTGCTAGAATTTCTGAAGCTCGATATGTCACACAGGATCATCTATAGCGTTGTCTTGCCACCGCTATCTTACGAGTACGAGTACAGATCCTACAAGATCATGCCTAGAGCCCAGAACGCTCACGCTCACGTCAACGCCGGCTTTCTCTTCAAGCTCTACCCTACAGGCGAGGTAACGAAATTGTTTAAAGTCGTATATAATACTATTATCGCGATAATTTATTAAATATATGTGCAATATTGTGCGATAAGGTGCTAGAGAGGCCCAACATTATCTATGGAGGTATCAACAAGGATTTTTTTCACGCGACGAACACGGAGCTAATGTTGATTGGAAAATCAATCCTAGACAATCAGGTTCTAAAGTCCGCTTTGAAGACGTTGCATGATGAACTGAATCCCGACCATGTGCTACCAGATTATTCGCCGGAATTTCGCAGAACTCTTGCCGAAGGATTATTTTATAAGTTTGTGTTAAGTATCAAACCGGAGAATGTAAATTCCAGACTTCGTAGCGGAGGTTTCTTGCTAGAACGAGGTCTCTCTTTAGGTACACAAAAAGTACACGTGTATATTGTAGATCAGCAGATTTTTGAAAATTTACCTTTTTCTTTAAGTACTCATGTTTGAGGATTTAAATTGATCTTATTATATTTTAATCTCCTACTGAAAAGTTTGACTTGTATTAATTTTGAGTGAGCCTTAAACTGTTGAGATTTTAAAATAAAAATCTCGCTCTTAATTTAATAAAATAATTTTGATATTAAAGAAGTAGAGAAATGTAAGTTTTTAAAGTAAATTAATCTGTTTCTAACAAATTCGTAAAATTTTGAATGATTATCTTAATTGTGCACAAAAAAACATGGTCACTCTAGGTATGCAAGATTATGACACGAATACGACATTGTGGCCTGTGAATGAGCCCTTAACAAAGTTAGATGCTATCGAACAGACATCGGGGGAGGCTCAATATTGCAATGATCTACCTCCATACCCTAGAGAAGTGTTTTGCGCTTTTGTTGTCACGAAAATTAGTAGCGGCAAAATCGTCAGTATAGATGCGAGCAAGGCGCTTGGTATGAAGGGTGTAGTGGCGTTCTTCAGCGCCAAGGACATACCGGGAAAGAATCTATTTATTTCGGCCGCCAGCAAGATGATCTTCTTGCAGCAGGACGAGTTGCTTTTCGCCGCTGAGGATGTTTTGTATACTGGTCAGCCGGTCGGCGTGATCGCCGCGGAGACGCATAGTTTGGCAAACGAGGCCGCAGAATTGGTGGAAATTAAATATACCAATCCTCTGCAAACAAAGCCGGTGATAAGCATCGAGGATGCACTTGCCACGCAGGACAACACTAGGTTTATGCAGAGTGTCAATACTCCAGCGAAGAAGAAAGGTAGGAA